CGAGTCTACCATCTAATGGTTAATGATCATGCTACAAAACTTTTCTTGCGAAAATCCTGGCTTTCAACTTCACATATAGTATAAACGGGTTGAGAGAAATTACAGACTTCATTTATGAGAAAATTAATTGCTACCAACAAACTGTGGTCATGCTTCACATTGATTAGGCACATGCCTCAATACCCCCTATTTTTTAATAAGGAAAATTCTACTGAAGTAATTTTGATCACTAATAATGTTTACCATTTGAATAAGGAAAACTGTGGTCATAGTTTACCGTTTTTTTTAATAAAAAATGGACATTTCACCAATTTTGATCATACAATCAACTCCTATTAACTTCTAGTTCATACCTGCACAAAGAAAAAACATAAAAAATAATTCACCATCCAAGTTAAAATCAAAATTTGCTCACAATGCAAAACACAGGTACCAAAACATGGATTTTAAGAACAGTAGTATCAAGTTCACAGCCTTTGAATAAAACAAAGGCCATATCTACTGAACATGCCGATAAACCAGACATATACATTCTTCTTGTTGTAAATAGCAACTACATAATCAGAAAGAAAGAGTAAAATGCAGAATAATGTAAAGCATATCTTCCATTCTTGTCACATGTGCATCTATATATATGTGTTATTCACATTGACTTGTCCCTATTTCTTAACAGGAGAAGCCAAAAGAATGAAAGAAAAACAAAAATGCTACTTCGGGATATATAAGTACAACGCAACCAGATTAAAACACATATAAGCTATAGTTTCAAATACACATTACATATCACTACACACAAGAAGCAAATAAATAAATAAATGAATAAAATGAAGTTTACATACTCCGAACATAGTACATTTAACATGATACAAATTAGAAAGATAGTGAAGTTCAGAAGAGAAAAAATGACAAATCATGAACAAATGCATAATATTTGCGCAAGTTGCTGCCATGGAGACACTCAAGATCCATCACTTGGGAATGATCCACAAAGAGATTTACCTAATTCACATAAATGAAACAGAGTTTTAACATCCACAAAGAGATTTACCTAATTTACACGATCAAACAGAATTTAATATTCTAGCAGAAAATATCATCCAATAAACTTATTGGGAAGCCAGAAAAAACAAATACACAAGAAAAGAATAAACTTGCCCTTGGAAGATATTGTTTGATGAACTTTTCAGACGTTTTAGGATTTGATGGCTCAACCTTGATGCACAGTGTGCTTGCTCTTGTAGAAATTGATATACTTAAATCAGCTTCTGTCGCGCATAATTGTTTGCAGAACAATTTTCGGGAAATTTTGAAGGGCAATCCTTGGCAGATTATAAGTACCAAGAGTTTGCAGCATTAGCAAGGATTTGGTTTACTCGAGAAGGGGCCCAGATTAGATGGCAATGCAAAATGTGCTTGCTCTTGTAGAAATTGATAAGTAGTGATTGAATTAATTCTAACATAATTGATGTATCAAATAGAAAATCACTGTGACTTCAAGGTAGGACAAGAAAATCATAAACTGTCTCTATGTTCATTCACCATAACCATCTTCTACAATCAACCCTTTCATAGATTCGCGTATTTCACCTAGACATGAGAAAATATTGGCTTAAGCATAATCTGAAGTTTTTAAATTTAATGGTCTCCTCTTTCCCTGATTTTCTGACCTCACCATCAACTGTGACCATAGATAATCCACATTCAAATATATGTTATATAAGTCGACAAGTTCAGCAATATCTCTAATCCTAAAAGCCATTCATAAGAGAACAATTGCAAAACATGTGGAACTACCTAGAACAACCAGCAACACTTATTCCCACAAATCATTCTAAAATTTACACAACTGCTAAAGGCTACTTGGAAAAAGGTTACCAATTCTATGATTATACCATGGCATTATCTCTCATTTCTCTCTGAAGGTGTGCCATCTATCGCAGTACTGTGTGATTCTTGCAGCTCAGATATGATGAAACCTAATTCTTTCTAACCAGCATATATCTCAATTGTGTTAAAACCCCAATTGCTTGCATACCTAAAGCTAAAAGAAATTTGCAGAAAAAGTAAATTAACAAAAAAAAGGTAAAAAGCAATTTGGTTGGGTTACTACCTCAATATAATCTTTAAAAAGCAGGAACTTTATGAAGTAGGAGCTCCGCCCAGCCACTGGTGCTGACATACACATTGTGCTTATGTGCCATATTAATTACTTCTTTGTTATAATTACTTCTGTGGAAAACCATTATATCAATATTAGCATTTGAAACACACAGCCCAGAACTACAAGTACCACCAGGTAGCTTTTAACCTGAATAATTACATACTCGTCGCCCAGTAATACACACTTTAGCTGATAGCAGATAGTCATAAATCGAATTAACAAATATATAAATCTAGTTGTATTGGTTTAAGAATCACAAAATCTACTTTGCAAGAAATTACATCATGATGGCATATTGTAGCAAAAGAAAAGAAGAAATTAGAAAGAACCCATCTTGAACAATGCAATCTTCAGTAGAAACAAAACTAATCCCAATTAACCCATCTTCAAAAATTCAAGGAAAATGATAGAAAGAGAACGAGAGAAGTAAAACAATAATAGAAAAAGAAAAGGAAAAGGAAAGAGAACGAAAGGGAAAAATAGGTCACCTGAAGGAGATTCTGGGAGAAATGGAATAATGAGGTCGATCCCCTCATTTCGGTGACTCCATATCTCCTGGGCTTCTCCGGACAATCCTAATCTTCCATGAATGTCTTTCATCGATAAGCCGCCATTTGATTCTTGATTCATCCCCACTTAATGTTAAAATGATATGCAGGAGCATGAAATCGACTGCAGATGGAAGAATTCAGAAAAATAAAGAAGAAGAATTGATAAAACGGAAATATTTTAAGTGCCTTTTAGGCTTCTACAAGCACACTTTTTAAACCTGGCCCGGAATCGACCCGGCCTCCACGTCACTGGATCAATTACGAATAATTAAATTTTAAGGTTTAAAACTATATTAGTGTATATCCCGTGCGATGCACGGAAACAATATTAAATTAATAATATTATAAATAGACCTCGAGTTTGAGTTACTCAATGACGGAAGTGGAAACTACTATTGTTTCTATTTAAAAAGAGGAAGCAAAAAAAATAATTATAAATTAAAGAGGAGGATAAACAATACTTAATACTTATAAATTAAAGATTCGGTGTCAAACAATGTAAAATTATTTTGTATAAGAGAATATAAAAAAATTTAATTACACACCATTTCAAAATTATTATTATACTTTTTTGTATGGTTAGCTTATAATATTTGTAAAAATATTAGTAATTAGACCGATGAAAATTAGCTTCTTTAAATAGATAATGGATTTCCAGTAGTAATTATGAATTGGTTTCTATTTTATTTTATTTTTTCTTTTTAAAAATAATGGATTTCTAGTAGTAATTATGAATTGGTTTCTATTTTATTTTATTTTTTTAAATCTGTATAGATAAGGGATGAGATTTTTTAAAATCGTATGCAATGGGATTTTGTAACAGAAGAGATAAGCGTGTAGATTTATA